GTCCTGGAGTGGATCGACGCCGTCTCTCCTGTCCTGAAGCGGGTCGACGCCGTCTCTCCTGTCCTAGAGCGGGTCGACGCTGTTTCTCCTGTTCCTGTTCTCGAGTGGTTCGACGCCGCCTCTGATCCTGTTTCCGAGCGGGTCAACGCTGCCTCTGATCCTGTTTCCGAACGGGTCGACCCCGTCTCTACCGGTTTGGGGTGCTGGGACCTGCCAGACTGGGATGATAACCCACTGGCAGAGAGACTACCCCAGCCTGTCATGCTCCTGAGCCTTGGCCTGCTTCAGAGGGAATCCACCTTTGCCGGCTCCAGGTCCGAGTCCAGTTTCCAGGGGGGATCCACCTTCGCCGGCTCTGGGCCCAAGTCCGGTCTCCAGAGGGGCTTTGCCTTCGCTGGCCCCTGGCCCGAGTCCGGCCTCTAAAGGGGCACCGCCTTCGCTGGCCCCCGGCCCGAGTCTGGCCTCTAAAGGGGCACCGCCTTTGCTGGCCCCGGCCCACGTCCGGCCTCTAAAGGGGCACCGTCTTCGCTGGCCCCTGGCCCACGTCCGGCCTCCAGAGGGATCCGGCCTCCGTCACCTCTGGGCTCCTGCCCAGCCTCCCAAGGGACCCCGTCTCAGTCATCTCCAGGCTCCAGCCCGGCCTCCCGAAGAACCCCGACTCCTTCGTCTCTGCGCTCCAGTCTGGCCTCCCAAGGGGTTCTGCCGCCTTAGTCTCCGGTTTCCTGTCCGGCCTGCCCTGGGATCCCACCTCTTTCGTCGCCGGCCTCCAGCCCAACCGCCTGAGGGTCTCCGTCTCGTCCATCGCCGGTCTCCTGATGGGTTCCGCCGCTGGCCTCCAGCCCGACCGCCCGAGGGATTCCACCTTTTTCGTCCGTCGCCGGTTTCCTGATGGATTCCGCCACCGGCCTCCAGCCCGACTGCCAGAGGGATTCCACCTTTTTCGTCGCCGGCCTACTGATGGGTTCCGCTACCGTCCTCCAGCCATCTTAGCCCTCTGGCTGTTCCCCCTCCACCCCCCAGGCTCATTGTTGGCCACCCTGCCTGTCCTGAATCCCACACAAGCCCAGTTGGACGCCAGGAGGCGTCCGTTGAGGGGGGGATACTGTGGTGATTGTGTCATATTGTACTGTGTATTACTGATGTTCTCTGGGTGCAGCTGGAGTGTCGCCAGCTCTAGCACATGTGCTTTCTGCTATTGCTTTTCGAGTTCTCGAGTAACTGTGTTTTTCTTGCTCTCCAGCGTCCAGGTCACTCCAGCCCACAACGTCAGCCTTGGTTTTTCCCCCACGGATCCACGAGCCTGGAAATCCTTCACCAGGAAGAACACCACGGGAAAAACACCACACGAGCACCAGGATTGAAAGAACACCATCCGAGCACTTGGACGGGAGGGTTGCCACACGTGCACCAATAAGGGAAGGACGCCACACGAGCACAAGCACGGGAGACTGCCGCACGCACAACTACATAGAAAGACACCCTTCACTACGGCACCAGTCCCAGATTCCCTCACCTGCCTCCCCGGCATCCCACACTCCCCGATTCCTTTAAATAAAACCTGCTATTTCCTAACCCTGCTTCCTTTTCGTTCTGGGTCCAGCTCTCTCACACACCTAGTGGCCACCGGCCATAACAGTCTTACTGACAACAGTTTAATTTTTACTGGATTGTATTACCCACCTTTGTACACGTTCCTCTTTGGTACATGGTGTCATGGCCTCTTTTTAAACGCAACCAACCTTTAATTCCATTATTGTGTGCTCTTCAAGCTTGTGCATAGTGCAGCCTGTGTACTTTTGATTTAAATGCAAGTATTGTAATGTAAAATGGGTCAATAGCTTTTTTTTTTGCGGACTAAATCCACTCTGGCTTTCTCTTTAATCTTGTCTTTCCTCTTTAGCTTTTTTTGTCTCTTAAGAAGGAAATAGTAAAAACTAAAGAATCAAGAAGAGCATCTTGTCCAACATACATCCTCTAACAGCAGGCTGTGATGATAGGGATCACTTTCTTCCCCTGAAGGGAAGTTTCTGAAGTTGTCCAACACTCGCTAAAATGTTCTGCAGTTCCCCCAGGATTATTGTTATTGTGCAGCAGCCTGTTACCTGTTTGCCATTTTGTACGCTGGTGTCTTTTATTGTTCTTCCATTCTGCAAATGTTTTCCTTGTTCCTGCTCTTCACCCGGTTCAGATTTTTAGCTGCTATCGTTGGGTTACTGGTGCATGTATGTTGGACAGCAAAGAGACAAACACATAACCTTAACCTACACTGGATGAATTTTTAAGAATAAACTGAGCACATAATATTGATTTCTCTGTACGAGAGGGAATACCCGTCCATTACAAAAGTACTTATTTTTTTTTAAGCGGTCCAATAAAGGGTTAATAGTTTTTAGTGTTTGGGCAGGATTCTTTGGTGTCAGAAGGCAGTGTGATACAAGCTAGCTTTTTTTATTTTTTTTTTTGGAAGATCAGGGGGAACAAAGCTGATGGTCTTTGATCAGCTGAGCTGGGCGGCAGACCACACAGACACTGAAGTGAGAAAAAGGGAGGCTGGTCTGTTTGAAGTCAGAGTGCTTGATAGAGTGAATCAGTGCTTTGAAAGTAGAAGCTTTCCGTTCAGTCATGTGCCCGTCTGTGCGGAAGAGGATGCTCATCTCTGGCTCGTAAGTGCCAGGAACACGGAGCGTGTTTGACAGGATGGAAGGTGGTGAGGAGGAGGGTTAATGAGCTCCTGTCCGTACCTGTGGCTTAATTACAGCGATGCAATACGGCAGGCTTGGGACTTGGAATGCAGATAGATTACAGCTACAAAATAATCACAGCAATGATCATCAGTCCAATTTGCTGGATCAGGGAGGTAACGCTCAAAAGGAGCACAAGGTCAGTGGGCCAATGGATTAGTGAGAAAACGCAAGATAGAGAGAGGAGAGAGGAAGAGACCGGTAGTAACACAGAGAGAAAGACAAGGTGTGAGGCGAGAGTGAGAGGCTGGAGGACTCCAGAGAAAGGAAGCCTTGATAAACTCATTGTGGTTGATGGAAAGAGGTTGTGGCATTCACTTAATAACTTTCCCCGCTGCCTTAGCGCTGTGTGTGATTGGAGGCGTCTCCTGCCTGTCACTGGGAGACAGTTACCATGACTTTCCAAAACATTGAAGCTCTCCCTTACGATATGTGTGCCCTCACAGAGGCATATTCAGCAAAGAGGTGGCTATTTTTAAGCAATTCTTACAGCTCAGCTATGATGTGAGACATCATGGAAAGGTGGAGAGCAGGAGAAGGAGGCCAGAGTGAGAAAATATTTAAAAAAACAAAAAACAAAAAAAAACAACTATGAAAGGAACGGTGTACACATCAAGAAACAGCAGTTAATAAAGACATGAGTAGGAATTGAGAGAATTACTGTAAAATTCCTTAATATCCTGTTATCAAATCTCAGTTTGTCTTCCTCTGGCCTGAAGTGTTTTCCTATTTCACCTTGTCACTGATGAAGACACTAGAACCCTATTTATTCATAATCCTTTTGTTGACTAACAAAGATAGATTTAATGTTGAATGTTGATGGCACATATATTTTTAAAGCTTTATTTCCTTTGTTCAGGGAAGTGTGACTGACTAAACCTACTCCATTTCAATTATTCAGCTCTAAATTCACACTGTTCTGCACATTCACAAAAACAGCTGCCAAGTAAATTCTCTACTTCTCGCCGCTGAGACGACACAGTGGCATAAATTGAATTAAAATGCATGCACCAATAAGAGTTGATGGTCACTGTGTAAAATTATGCAACATAAATAGCGTGCTCTCGTAACCACTACTCACAAAATACAAGTGTAGTCTTTGCAGAAGTACCCACAATTATTTTTTTCCGGTCAGGAGGACTCACCGTCACAGAAAGAGTGGAGAATGAGGAAGGGAAGGAAGAGCTTGGCAACTGTCATCCTGCCGCCTAAACCCACGCTCCACGACATCACCTGCGCCTGATAACAAAACACAAACACAAGAGCACGATTATTCGGCTAGCTGATTACCCACATTGCTGTTTCTGTCTAACCACATAATGCCCAAACACATTTCAACTCCTCTATGTGAGGTGATTACTGTGTAAGTGAGTAGGAGATGTGATCAGTATAATTAGGCGACAGAAAAAAAAAAAAGATTCGCTCCCCACTATGCTTCAAGCAGGTGCTTCCTTGTGGAAATGTGTGTCTTTTAGAGCGGTGGGTGCGCTGATGAAGGCATGTTCACAGCAACAGCTCATATGCAGTACAGTGTACACGCTGTTTAATGGGCATAATCTGTTAATTGGCTAATAAAAAAAATAAATGGAAGTGTTAAAGACATTTTCAAAACGTGGAAAGAGCAACTTCACTGTGTCAATTATTGGGAATATCAAATGACAAATAATGTCACTCAGCATGTGCAGAGCATAATTAAGCTTTTTACTGTTTGTTCGCAGTCAGGATGTTTGCTTATAGGTATTTACTGTCAATTTGCTTGTAGCAAAGCAGTAAAGACACACTAATTAACTGTAAATTGCTGCATAGCTTTATCAGTGACTCTCTATCTCACACTTACAGACATTCTGATAAAGAATAAACACTTAGGATTTCCCTGTGTTTGCTTTAATAAGCCTTTTCCTTGCTGACATTATCAGTTTCATGAGGCTTCCAGGAGGTAGCTCAGGGAGGACAATGTAGACTCCCCTGTCTTCCCCCATTCCTCTCTCCCCCCGATTTGTTTCCTCTCTTTACACTATCATCACTTGTCCCAGCAAGGTCTCACTGGTCGGCAAACTCATTCAGTGACAATTTAATTTTGAAGGGTTATCTTTCTAAATTCTTCCTCTCCCCGAAGCCCACTGTGCTGCAGCTCATGGTGGCAAATCACGCAGGGATGAGGCTGCTTGTCCTTCAGGTATCTGATAGCAACAACAACAACAACAACAACAACAACAACAAAAAAGCTAAATAAACTACAGAAACCAGTGTGAGAGGCAAAAAAACACAATACAAATGGCGCTTTGTGTTGCTTCCTGCTGTCCTGCTGCTGCTGGTGCTGTTCCAGATATACAGCATGTGGTGGATTCAATTCAGACAAAGTAGCTAAAAATTTACAGGTGAGTGAGAAAGAAATGCGAGGTAAAGAATGGGCTGTCACTGCTTATTGTATAAATATGTCTCTCTCGCGGGTGTGTGTATATTAGCTGCGCATGTGTGTCAATTTGAATGGGCACATTTGTTTTCATTTAGATTCTTGTTTCCTCAGCATTATTGCATTTCACTTTCAGTAACAATGCAACCTGCATGGCTATGTCTACTACTTTTTTTTTTCTCCCTCCCTCATTTCCTTTTCCCTCCCTTTTCTGCTTACAGACATTCATTCGTCTGTCTTGCTGGGTTGTAAAGACCCGGCTTTCCCCCTCCCTCGTGGCCGTTCTATCTTCCTTGTCCTCCTAGATCTAGATGTGGTCCATTAGCAGAGAGTATTATGTCGACTCAGAGGGAAGCTCAGATAGAAAGATGACAACAACAGCCTTAACAGATTACACACTTTCACAACTTGTCCTTTCCCATACAAACAGTTCCTTTCCTTTGTAATCCCATTTTCTACTGCCGATATCATACCTGAGGTAGCATAACTTGTACACCCCGGAGCTCTTCACGTAGATGAATGTACAGGCAGTCTGTCAATGCCAGTAGCTACAACATCGTGAGCAGCAAGCCCTGAGGGCAAAATCGCAGCATTCTCTATGTTCCTCTTTGACACTTGGTTAAGCTTGATCAGACTGAATGAGAACAATCAATAAAGCCCATCCTACACAATAAAGAATGAAAACTATTTGTACAAAGAGCAGTGAACAAGTTCTTCATGTCTCCTGTTCTGTCCTGTTTTTCTTTTCTTTTCTTTTTAAACAAAATAAATCTCAATAGGAAAAGTTAGTTTCTCCATGTTATCTGTTTTTCTAAATAGAATCTAATCGTGTTTATTGATTCTCTTACTAGTAACAGAAACATGCACAAACAAAAATAGGACATCACTGTAAAAATTATGAAAATGCCTTTAAATTTGTTTTGTTACCAAATATCTGTTACACAATGCTATTTTCCATTCCTCTGTTCTAGAAGATAACGCAGGAAGGTGGTTCTTATCTACTTTGATGTGTTTGACACATCTCTTTGTCCATTACACGCACACATGCTCAGGCACGCACACACCTTCTCCAGACTCCTCACTAATCCCACCTCCAAATGCTAAGAGACATTTCCGAGATGACGAACGAGTGAATATGAGTGATGGATACTGGTTGAGATGAGGCAGGTTGGTTTCAGAGATAAAGAGGGGAAGGGAGACACAAGCAGTGCTACTAGAACATCACAGAGTTCTGTGTTCTCACTAGGATGCAGAAGGATTCAATATTAAACCTTCTCACACACAAAAAAAAGCATCCCCCAAAGTTTAAAATGCTCAGTATAATAGATGGAGGACCAGGCAGTCACAGTGACCCGCCTGCCTTTTTGTCTTGTCTGTATGCATAACCTGGATTGTTCCCATTACTCTAAGCTCCTGGAACAGCCTGCCTGAGGCGTAGGCAAAGTACACAGCTGTTAAGCACTCAACACTCAGAGCATATTACAAACTTGATGGTTAGTGATATAATATGGATAGTAATTTATGCATAATTGCTGCATTTTGCATCCTTTATTATTTGCATTCAGAAGTAAAAAACAGTTTAGAATAATGAATACTGTACTTCATCTCATATCATCACATTGCACCGGGTTAATTTGCTGTCTTTCTTTTGATCTTCCTTTGTTTTTTGGCACACTTGTGATCACAAACTGAATTTTAAAACATCAGACTGTTTTTTCAGGGAAAAAGGGTCATTTCAACGAAATGACAGTCATTTTACAACTTAAGCTTGAGTGTTTTCTCAGAACAATAGACTTAAACAGAATGCAGATCCCAACTCTGTCTCCCAAAAATTTCTATACAACAAAACTGCATTCTCATTTATGTTTTGAAAGATATGGGTGTGTTTTCGCTTAAAGGTTAAGTGTAAGGAAAGGCTTGTAGTTTGAAAAAGACACAAAGGCTGTGTAAGGAGGTAGGACGAGAGGATCAAGACGTCAGTCAGCAACAGGATTTAAGCTTTACTTTTGCATGTTGTTTCAGTTTTTACTTGCAATATGTGGTTAGGTTTAGGAAATATAGTTTGGGTTAAAATACCACCCATTAACCAGGTGACTAGTCCCACCCCAACTAATACATGATTGGTTGGCTGTAAAGGAGTGACAGTAAAGCAATAAAATAAATGGTGACATTGTGACGACATCCTGATTTGCAATGCATTTGTGATACATCATAAACACAATCTGGCAGAAAATACATTTCCCTCAAAACCTAAATTCAGAATGGAGTTTCGGTGTACAAGAATGTTATTTTTGGGAGACAGGGCTGCAGATGCAGATAAATGTAGTTTTATTTGCCCAGGTTTTGAGACTACCACATGGACAAAATGCCCCGTACAGCAAAGTTCCCAGTTCGACTTCCAGCCAACCTGACTCCTACTGTATGCCATTCATCTTGTTCCGCACATTTCCTGTGTATAGACACTGTCACTATCCAATAAAGGCCTTCCGGAAAGATAAAGAAAGTGTTCACAAGGAGCTACTGTCTACTGAACATTAAAAAGGAGATCACATTGTCCACATCACTTCGAGGATTACCTAAAGTAAAACTTTAATAAAGACTGTATTTCTAGAAGAACACTTTGCTACTGAGTTTCTTAAATGTCACTTCTCAAAATTTTGAGCCAGAAGTCCATTTAACTCCACTGTCTTTGAGTATGCTGCAGAAATTATTGCTATATGTCAGAATCTCAGCAAGTCAAAGTTAAATTATCTGGATGGCAAGATACCCTGAGGCTAAGTGGAAAAACACGTTGTTTGTCACAAGTGTGAGGTGAATGTCTTACCACCTAATACATCAATTTGTTGTTGTTAGGTACAACAAACTCCTAATTCCACTATTGTTACAGTTTAGTACCACTTGAAATAACATTATTGAACATGGTAAAGTGATTAGTTGCTTTTTCAGTTTTACATGGGGGACTCAGGCTATTGTGTTACCATACAATTTGTAGCTTGTGGTGCATACAGTATGTTCCACCGCAATCACTTCACTAACAATGAGGTGGGGGGGGCAATCAAACTCTGTTTCGCTCCCTAGGAGCACTGGCTTCCACACTCTGAAATTAAAACCAATTCTTTGATAGCAGACTTTGTATCAAGCATACAGCATATTTCTTAGAATGCTCAAGTAATCTTTTTTAACCACACAAAATTATAGGATTTGTGTATCACTGAAGACACACAGATTAAACTTTTTTTTTTTGCAGTTACTGCTCATTAGAAATGAAAATACAGTCATTTAAATTAACTCATGTATACAAAGCATTTGCAACAGCTATGTATATATCCTAGCATTTAGGTTTTTCAAATGTTTAACCCCATTCAGGACTTTTGGGGTCTTTTGGACCCCAGGCCATTTGGTTTAGGTGACAGGTATTGTTTTGTTTTTTTTTTTTTTGAAGGTTTGTTTTGTTTTTTTTGTTTTTTTAATATAAAAAGAGGGACATTCACCATGCATTTGGAACCAATCCCTCACTCTCCCCAGAGCTTGCCATTTTATGTCTGTTTTTGCTTGTTTTTCACTTTTCAGTCATCTCTCTCTATTTTTTTTTTCTTTCCTTTAATTTTCTTGGTCTTATCTACATTGGCCCATGTCTCTTCTTTTTTGGTTCACCACCCAACTTGGTTTGTCTCATTTTATATGTATTCTGCAGTCATTTCAAATTATTCTTCTTTATGCTGAGTTTTGGCAGATGTCTCCTGTATTCCTGATGTGGAATGTCAACACAGTTCATGCATGTTTTTGTTGGCGATGTATTTGTTGTGTATTCATGTTA